AGATAAATAGGTTTACCTGAAGTAGAATTTCCAGTATGTGTGTGTTTATGTGTGTGTGTGTGTGTTTAAGAGTGTGTGTGTATGTGAGTGTGTGTGTGTGTGTGTGTTTAAGAGTGTGTATGTATGTGAGTGTGTGTGTTTATGTGTGTGTGTGTTTATGTGTGTGTGTGTGTGTTTATGTCTGTGTGTGTGTGTTTAAGAGTCTGTATGTGTGTGAGTGTGTGTGTTTATGTCTGTGTGTGTGTGTTTAAGAGTGTGTATGTGTGTGAGTGTGTGTATTTATGTCTGTGTGTGTGTGTTTAAGAGTGTGTATGTGTGTGAGTGTGTGTGTTTATGTGTGTGTGTGTATGTGAGTGTGTGTTTATGTGTGTGTACGTGTGTGTGTGTGTGTGTATAATACCATCTGATGAAGTGAAATTCCCTGAATTACAGAACTTCAAGCAGGGTATTTAACTATCGCATTTACCGTCGCAATTATATTTTTAAAAATCAGTTATTCTCGTTACGCGAAAAAGAAAAGGGAAAAGATAAAAGAAAATAGGTAATTTACCCTATATTATCAAAATACGAAAAAGGGAAAAGAAGAAAGAGGAAAACGATGAAGAAAAAAAAAAGTGAGAAAGAGAGAAATAAAAAGTAAACCGAAGAAAATAAAATATTATTTCCTGGAACATAACAAAAAAATAATAAATTTATTTAAAAATCATCAATATTTTGAATAAATGAAGAAAAAAAAGAAAGGCAAACAGAAGGGAAAAAGAAAGGGAGACAGAAGGGAAAAAAAGAAAGGGAGACAGAAGGGAAAAGAAGAAAGGGTGACAGAAGGGAAAAAAGGAAAAGGAGATAGAAGAAAATAAAGAAGAAAAAAAAGGTGAAGAAAATAGATAATTTTTTTTTCGAAGTCCGGTGCGGAGAATCGAGGACGTTCGTGAATGCGAATCCCTGCCAATGGCTTCGTTCGCGGCACAAAAATAGAGCCGAAGATTTTTCCCTCGCGTCTAAATCTCTCTGTGGACTTGTTGAAAGACCTCTGTCAGAAGAAGGGGGAAAAAATGTATACGAAAGAAGAAAGAATGGGGGAGAGGGGGATTACACGCAAAGGAAGGGAGAGAGAGAGAGAGAGAGAGAGGGGAGGGAGAGGGAGGGAGGGAGGGAAGGAGGGAGGAGAGAGATAGAGAGAGAGAGAGAGAGAGAGAGAGAGGGAGAAAGAGAGGGGGGAGGGAGGGAGGGAGGGAAGGAGGGAGGAGAGAGAGTGAGTGAGAGAGAGAGAGGGGAGGGGGAGGGAGGGAGGGAGGGAAGGAGAGAGAGAGAGATAGAGAGAGAGGGGGGGGGGGAAGCCAACAAAAGGTTGCTATCGATTCAAGGCATCCGAAGAAGTTTATTGTCACAGTACGCGCGTCTTTTGGGTACGTGTTAAAGGGGGGGAGGGGGGGCATTCCACGCAAAGGACATTATACCAGAAAACAGGACTAGAACACTCGACTTTTTAAGATATATAAAGTAGCTATTTAAGTGAAATAATTAAGGTATTTTATTTTACGCAAAAGACATGACGGTAATCCAGACAAATAGCATTAGAACACTGATTTTTAAGATCTTAAATAAGGTAATCAACTGGCGAAATAATGATATTACGATAAACAAGAAAATAAGAATAAAACACTTTTTTTTAAGAGAAAGTTTTTAATTTTTGCCAAAGCTAAAAAAGTTAAAAAATTTAAAAACACAGATTTTTGAAAATAAAGTATTTAACTGGTGAAATAACGATTCTACGGCACGCGAAAAGACAGGAATAGAAGAGAAAAGAAGGTATTTACCTGGCAAATTAGGGAAAACACATTTTTTTTAATTTTATTTTACGTGACAGTACTCAAGATGAATAGAACACTTGTGATTTGTTTTAAAGAAAGTATTTAACTGGAGGAACTAACGAACATAACACTGGCGAAATGAAGAACATTCACTGGCTTCTTTTACGCAAAGGAGGAGTGTGATCTCTTAAAGGAAATTATTTAACTGGTGAAATGAAGTAACCTTGCAATACCTATTTACGCATATGACATTACGGCACTCCAGAAAATAGGAATAAAGAAACTGGTTAAATGAGGGGAAACTCAAGGAAATAGGACTAGAACACTGATTTCTTGAAATAAATTAAGTAGCTACTCAAGTGAAGTGGGTTTGTAAATGAAGTAACTATTCATTATGAGGTAAGTATGATGTAAATATTAAAATGAAGTAGTTATGTAAATGAAGTAGTTACGTAAATGAAGTGATTATATGAATGAAGTAATTATTTAAAATAGCTCTTCAAACGAAGTAACAGTTTAAATGAAGTAGCTGTATAGTCGACATTAAATGATCTTGGAAAAAAATGGTTATGAGGTTCATTGAAAAAAGTAGAACTCATATATAAATGCATATATTTCTTTTTTACAGACAGAGAGAACATTAGATCGCATTATTTCGGCCTCAGACCCAGGGAGCAGAGGCGTCGTCCTCATCGCCTCGTCACAGGTGGTCCCAGGAAGATCGAGGTCGTTGGCGGCGTTGTGGAGTCGTCCGTGTACACCATGAGCGTGTAGGATGTGACCGTAGGCTTCGGGGCTGACGAAGGAGCTCTTCCTGCAGGAGGGGCTGAAGGCCACCGCGCCAACCCCCTGGCACTGCCTGTGGTAGGACGCGATCTTCTTTCCTCAGGGTCGGGCGAGCCTCGAGGTTCTCTTCGTCTCTGGTTGTTAGGGGAGGCTTCCGAATCCTTCTTGGCTGCAGATTGTCGGGTCCCTGGGAGGAGCAGCGAAGCCCACCTCGGCAGGGTGGCTGGGCGCGAACCTCCGGGCGAAGGGAGGGGGGAAGGGGCGTCGTTCGGAGGGGCACAGGCTCGTAAGTCGGAGGAGGAGGCCGATAGATGGCGAAGGGGCTGGGATGGAGAGCGAGCGGCTGGAGGAGGTAACGGAGGAGAGGACGAGGAGGGAGACCTGGCCCGAGCAAACGCAGAAGGAGGAAGAGGAGGTGGCGGGCGTGGGTGGCCTTTCGCTCCTCCCGGTGGCAGTGGCGGACGCGTAGGGTCGCGATGGGCGTGCGACCAGACGAGCGATCGCGGCGGCAGAGGGAGGGCGTTCTTTGGGCGGGACTGCGATACGGCGGTGGGCGTGGGAGGCAGCTTGAACACGGGCGTTCTCGGGGGCAGAGGGGGCTTGTCCTGAACCGCCTGGGATGCCCGAGAACTGGGCGGGATCGGGTGGGCGGCGGCGAAGGTGCGCGGCGGCTTTGGAGGTGGCATGGAAGGACGTCCGGAACTGAAACAAATAGCTCGTAAACACAAACAAAAATAAAGGAAATTCTACGACAATAAGACAGAAAAACTAAAAATTCCGGACCCCATCATTTTATCAGATTTCGTGGAAATATAATCATTCAAAAATAATATCAAACACTGATTTTCTTTGTCTTGTTACACTTCCACACATAATACCAAAAAACGTATTTACCTCTCTAGCTGAGCGCAGGACACTCGTGCAGGAGGGAGGGAGCGATAGGCAGGGTTCGAGGTGAGGACTGGGGAATCCTGCGTGCTCTCGACTCTACGGTTCTCTCGGGCGTTCACTGGGGGTTATGTGAGAATAAGGCATAAAATCCTATGTCAACGTGCTTATAATATAGCTTTACATGGTATACAGTGATTATAGCTGTGACGATATTGCTATCAGTGATGATGGCGCTGACGTGTCTAGTATTTTTTTTTTAATAGCCAATTCCGAGGATAACGATAACAATACGAACATTAACAACATGCTAGTAATGCAAATAGTAACAATGACAGTTATATTCCTAGTAAAAGTAGTTATAACCCTAGTAAAAGTAGTTATATCCCTAGTAAAAGTAGTTATATCCCTAGTAAAAGTAGTTATATCCCTAGTAAAAGTAGTTATATCCCTAGTAAAAGTAGTTATATCCCTAGTAAAAGTAGTTATATCCCTAGTAAAAGTAGTTATATCCCTAGTAAAAGTAGTTATATCCCTAGTAAAAGTAGTTATATCCCTAGTAAAAGTAGTTATATCCCTAGTAAAAGTAGTTATATCCCTAGTAAAAATAGTTATATCACCTAGTAAAATAATCGCGCCGATAACTCCAGTAATAAACCACCCTACATCTTACCACAGGACGAGCGACATCCCACAGCCCGCAACTCCCTCTGACTACTCGCCCGTGTGGGAAGCATCGTCTTGACATCAGCTTGCGACACGGACGTCCCTTCGTTCTCTTTCCCCGACGTCGGCGGATCGGACCGGCCACGCAGATCTAGCGACGAGGTCCTCCGATACCCGATGCCACTCAGCGGGTCTTTGGCGACGAAGGGCAAGGGTGGCAAGGGGGGGAGGGGTCGAGATGGTCTCCTGGGGGTGGGGGGTATACGGGACTTCGTCGGGGAAGCGAGGACCTGGTGGAGCATGGAGAGGGACGTCTGCTGGGGACTTTGCGAGGGAGAAATGGAGTTTGCGTTCGTTGTCTCTTCGGATTCTTCTCCTACCGGTTTGGGACGTAACCCTCCTGCCGAAGGATAAAAAAGTACACATAATATAATATAATACTCATATCTTGCACGATTCACAGATCCTTATTCAATATCCATCTTTCGACTCTTTACTCGTACTTAAATAAATCGTACAAGTAATTCATCAAACCCAATAACACAAGAAATAAATATAAAAAAAAACACACTAACACTAATCAACCATAACTGATATATTTCACACCACACCATAAACCAACCACCATACCTGGCACCATCATAGTCAACGAAAACAGTAGCTAAAATCGCAGCAAAACCTCCTGTGATCTCAGAAGACCAAGTGATAGACAGACAGACGTCCTACAGAGAGGTATATATACCTTGTAAATACCTTCCCTTCTTCCTTCTCCCGCGAACTCCGTCTGCCATTCGACCGGAAGTGAAAGAGATCGATTAGTATTTTTCCTTTACTCATGTTTATATATTT